GGGCTTCTGCCCCTCTTGCTGCTCCTCAGGGGGAGCTGCAGTAGCTCTGCTCATATATTCATGGTGTGGGGAGCCCTCATTGAAAGCTGCTGCAGTTCGTGAACCCATTTCAATGCTGGGGCCTAGGTGGGTGAGCTGGCCTGACACAGGTCCAGCCCAGACCACAGAAAGCAAAGAGAAGAGGAAGTTACACGATGGCCTGGCCTGGCTTCTGGCTCTAACTTGCCTTTACCAGAAAGGCCCTGACTGGAGGTGGTGAACACTGCATTGGGCCATCAGTGAAGTCTGGTTTCCTGGGCGGCTGGGCGGCTGGTGTCTTGATGCCTCTATCCAGAACACCAGAGGAGGGAAAGCAAAGAGGGGCTTGGCAGTTACCAGGGCTGACACTGGGGTTCGAGAGCCCAACACCTATATCTCTGCAGGAGGGATGTGCCAGCATTCCTTCTCTTCTTGGCCTCAGGTCCTGTGTCCTTCCTGTGCCCTTGCCACCCCTCTAGGGAACCACACTGGCTCAGCTCAGCCATGGCAGCTGCATGGCCCTTCACGTGGAACATTCCAGCTGTGGTGTAAATGTGGTCTTTATAGAGGTGAGGTTGGGGCACGTACACTGCTCTGGGCCTAGGTGCTGCCGAGTTAGTATTGGCCTGGTTCTCTGGACGGAGCCGCCCTCTCAGAAGGGGAGCCAAGTCAAATAGTGCCTAGCACTCGAACTGTTCTGGAGGGAGGGTTTCACCCACTGCACGTCAAAAATTTAGCTTCCTTGACAAAAAAGATTTCCATTCTTTATTTCAATACATCTTTGTGGCCTTTTCCGCTGAAACTCTGACTTTTAAACTATGCCTGTGAAAAATATCTATTAGCAAATAGCTTTATATTTAGTCTTGGAAATTCAAAATATACAGTGATGTTTATGTTTGTGTTTGTGTGTATATGTGTGTGAAGTGGGTGGGGAGGGAGAGGAAGAGACAACAGAGACAGAGGAAAGGGTATGAACAACTTCCACCATGTCAGCTTTCACCTATAACAGGAGGAAAGAGACTGTGCTGAGCACCGGCTCAGGCTGGCCTCTTGGCTGCTCCATGTTGGTGAGACCCTTAGGATAGCCAGTGCTCCTTCCCCATTATACAAGAGAACTTGAAGCTTAGTGAGGAAACTGCCCAAGTCATATTGTGAGTAGGTGAAGCCACCAAGATCTGAGCCAGTGGCTGGTGACTCCAAGTTGGGAGTCCCTTCTTCAGCACCACACTTGCTCAACCATGGGCCTCCCCTAGATCCCGGGGGCATTATGTGTAACAACCTGCATATTGGCCTTGTGTTATTTATGTTACAGTTGCAGAATTCTGGACACACTGCACATGACAGGTGTGCCATTGCATCACTCCCCTGCTGCAGCTGTAGGTTGCCCATCAAATCAGGAGGCTTGGGCTTGGCTATTTTAATGCAGCCATTATTTCATTGCTGCCAGTTTTCCAATGCAACCTATTTTTTGAACAAATTTTCCCTCATTATTTGCATTTTTTACATTTGCCACAGTGTCTCTAATGTAAGGAAAGGAATGCATATGGATGTRTGAGATTTGGTGGAGGTCTTCGAAGGAGAACTGTTTGGGGCTTCAGTTTTTTATTTTATTGCTTCTTTTCAGTTATTTATGACATTAGGATTCATTTTAACATAATTATAAAAGCATGGAATATAATTTGCTTTATTTCAGTTCCTGGTACTCCCCCCACTTCTGGCCGCTGTTCCCTTGCCTTTGCTCTACTGATCTTTCTGCTATATTATAGAGTGTGTGTATTTTTTAAATTAGCATCTTGTGGATGTATGTGATGGTGAGAACTACAGTGGTATATTCATGCATGTGCACAGGGAGCACAGTTCTTGTTGAAAGCCAACAGGCCTGAGTATCAAAGAACAGGCTGCAGGGATATAAGAGAGTCTTATCTAATAGCATGAAATGCAAAATGCTTCCTGATTTATACCTGCCCCATGACTCTAGAAGGACATAAATTAGAAAATTACTAGATTTGCCTAAAAAAAGAAAAACAAAAGATGAAACTTCTCCATCATAAGATACTTAAAATAGTTGAAAAGTGTGTAAAGGATATTAAGAAGTCAATAGGAAAAAAAAAAAACCCAAAGCAGACTTTTTAAAAAGGGGTTTAACACCTTGCCAAAGAAGAACTGTTTTTATTATTATTTTTTTGACCTGGATGACAACCAGGTYAAAAAAATAAAAATTTTTTAAAAGTATTCCTCAGGACAGAGATTGTAGCCTGGGCCCCCAACCCTCAAATTCACTCTGGTTGGGGGAAAACAAGAGTGCTTTGGAGTAAGGACTCTGGACCAYCCAGACCATCTGAAGACAAAGACTCACCCTGCACCTTACTGGCTTTGTCACCTGGGGGTCCCTTAATGTCTCAGGGGCTCTGCTTTCTTCATCTGTAAAATGAGGAGCCTGCTGCCACCTCACTGGAGTGTGGGTAGAGGGAACATCMAGACAGGGCTTGCCCTGAGCCTAGCACATGTGTTATCTACTGTTATTATTCATTGTTATTATTACTATTCCAGACAAGACTCTTTTAGAGCTCGCGGTCATAACCTAGGGCTTGAGGGTCCATTTACCTTCTGTTCTGGAAACTATACAAAATTATGTGAGTCTGTGCATTTTTCTAGAGAGTCTAGAACTTTCCCCAAATTCCTAAGGGATTGGAGACCCCAAAACATTTAAAAATACTTTCTTTTTAAAAGGAACCCTTTGTAGGAATGCCAAAGGTAAAGCTGAAGCCATGAAGGAACATAGGCTTGGGCCACAGGACTCACCTGCTACCTCTCACTGGCCTCCAAAGGCTCCCTACGTGGTAACCCCTTCAAGGACAGCCTCTCTACTGCATGAGAGCCCACGAGCCCAGTGGCTCTGCAGGAGAGGCCCGTGGCTTGATAAGTGATGTTATTTTGCAGGCCCTGGGGATCTTCCATCTCCAGCATGAGCATCAACCGCCCCTCCTGCATGGCTGACCTGGCGAGGAGCTGGRCGGCCTCCTACGCCCACTGGCGCTCTGCTCCAGCTGTTAGGGACAGACTCCTATTCTCTGCCTTGGTCCCTGGAGCATGGACCAAACACAACCAAAACCTTTTTCTCCTTCCTRAATGTTCTTCCTGGAGGTCTGGCCTCCCTTCCCCAGGATGGATATTGAAGAGGGCCAAGGGCAGGAAGGGAGGACACAGCCACTGGTGCCATGCCTTGTGCTGGGGTGGGATGCATGGGGGCTGGCCCTGGGCCTCATATGGGAGAAGCCTGGGTAAAAGGGTGAGAAGCACTCTCAAGGAGGAGGCCTGCAGTGATTGTCAGCACCCAGGCCGCCCTAGGTGCCCAGAGCAAGGCGGCTCTAAGATGGGTTCTCTGGAAGAGCCCGTTGAGATGTCCGRCAAGGACAAACCCAAACCTCACCCATCTGACCATCCATCATGTGTGGGCTAGCTAAGCCAAGCATCAGCCAGGACTAAAGCTGAGAAGTTGGGGCTTCACAGGCAAAGCTGAGTGCGCCCGGACTCCAAGGAGGGGGAAAGACAGGATTCCTCAGGAAGTGGAGTGGGAGGAGGCAGGCAAGGCCAGTTCCTCCTCACATCTGCCAAAGCAGCCATGCTCTCCTGGGCTTCTGCAGCCCTGTGGGGGCTGGGCCACAGTTAATAGCTGTTGAATAAACATACACACTAATAGAGCAAGATGAAAATTTCTAAGCCCTTTTGATCTTAACCATTCTCAGTCTGAGAAGTATTTGAAAGAGCCTGAACCAATGTGTGGTGATTTTACGTATTTTGAACTATGTGGCTGAAAGACCTGGAAGACCTCCTAATGTTCCATCAGATGAATAAGGAGGACCCCAGCTTGTCTGGACCTTAGTGACTCAAGTCAGTACCTTCTTGCTGAAGTGACCAACCTTAGAACAAAGGAAACTGCTAGGGGAGGTTGGACCTCTGGGTGGAGGGGCTGAAAGACCTAAGCTATTCAGAGGCCTAGAACCCTTCTGGCCTCAGTTTCTGAGGAGAACCATAGATTAAGGTGTGTCCCAGACATTGTCCCTTCGGTGATCTCAGAATGCATGGGCTCTGAGCATCTGGTCACAGTGAGCTTCCTTCAGGAAACACAGATTGAGCTGAAAGGGAACCTGGTACCACCAAAAGATGCTTGGAGACTGGTGTATGATTCCCTGCAACATTCAGATRTCTCTGGCTATTTGGCCAAACTCTGGGCTAATCTGGACCCTGTAATCCTTCAGAAGTTCTTACTAGAAGCTGCAGTGGTGTCATGGAGTGCTGTCACTGGAAGGGCAGATGTGGAACCTGGCTGAGGTGTGCCAGCGCTCAGAAGTACAGTTAGGTGAAGCCCAGGCTGGCTGGTGAAGCAGAGCAGGAAGCTGCCTGGTGCTGGCAGGCACTGCCACATCCAGCAGCATACGCCTCTTCACCAACAGAATTAACTTTTCTAAAAGTCACTCCAGRAACTTCCACACAAATGTGTGGTGATTTTATGTATTTTGAACTATGTGGCTGAAAGACCTGGAAGACCTCCTAATGTTACATGAGATGAATAAGGAGGACCCCAGCTTGTCTGGACCTTAGTGACTCAAGTCAGTACCTTCTTGTTGCTGAAGTGACCAACCTTAGAACAAAGGAAACAAATAATCTCTGAAATCCTGACAACCCTGAAGGATGTAAATATGACGTCCATTCTACAAATAAAGGAAATCAAGGGTGGGGAGAAGTGAGGAAGCGTGCTGGTAGGTCACAGTAGGAGCCAGTGAGGGCAGAAGATGGGCTTGAAGTCCTTAATTTTATACCACATTATTACTCAAAYGTGCAAGACAAAAACCAGTTCCCTCAAACTACAGGCCTGTGGCTTCCTGTTGGAGCCCTGCCAGAGGCTGTGTCTATCTAGGGTACATCTGGGGCTGTGGCCTTGTGGCAGGCAGCATGTGACATGTGCACGTCTGTGTCCCTAGGCCCATGGAGAGACTGCCTACAGGCCCTGGAGGATGGCCATGACACCAGCTCCATCTACCTGGTAAAGCCTGAGAACACCAACCGCCTCATGCAGGTGTGGTGTGACCAGAGACATGACCCCGGGGGCTGGACTGTCATCCAGAGGCGCCTGGACGGCTCCGTCAACTTCTTCAGGAACTGGGAGACATATAAGGTGAGACCCAGTGGGGCCTGTTTGCACTGCCCACAGGTGACTGGCCCACCCCAAGGCAATTAGAATGAGGACAGGGCCATTTTTGCAAACACCAGGGCGGTAAGGATAGGCTCCTGCTCTGCCTACTGCTAGCACCTGTCACAGGACAGCAGTTAAGAGTTTGGACCACCAAAACTCCACAGGGCAGAGGGACTGCTTGCTCCAGCCTGGGTGTGGCAGACTCTTGCTTCCAGGTGGGGTTTCCATGGGTATGACTTATTCTTGGTGCCCAGAAGGGGCAAGGCCTGAGGCTTTCAGCCCTGGGAGATCCCAAAGGGCTCCTGGAGAGAATTCTGATACTACTGGAGTCCTAACTGCAGGRCCCATCTCAATTTGTAGGGCACTGCAGTGCTCATCATTGTAGAAAGCAAGGCTGCACCCCATTCTCCTTCTTCTGGTACTGAGGACAGCCTAAATGGCTCGGGCCATGGGAGTACCCACAGGGATCTTGTACGTGACCTGGTTTAACCTCCAGCACTTGAGGAGGACACTGCTGTTGACCCGGTCATAGGTGACAAGGGAGAGTTCCTTGCTCACAGCTACATAGCTGTGACAAGCAAAGCAGTGACTGCAGCTTAGCCCTCTGAAACCAAAGTCATGACTCCCTTGGCCATAATGCCTCTACATGTGGCTCTGCCACACCCSCTTCTTGGGTCTCTCTCTGTCTTGGCTCCCTGGACCACCTCCTGGCCAGCCTGTATTTCTGCTTCTCCTCCATATCCCAGCTTGGAGGCTCCTGGAGTCTCTCCTCCACACTCCCTCCTCTCCTGTGGAAGGACTGTGTCCTTCCTGCTCGTCCTGGCTGGACCATCTAGGGAGGATAATGATAGCGCCTTGCTCTTAGGGTCGGCACGAGGGTTAATAAAGTAACATGGTGAAGTTCTTGTGACAGTGCACACGTGCTGTAAGTGCTCACCGAACCCTAGAAATGGTTACTGTCAATGAACCCATCTGCTTACGAGACTTTGGTGGCCAACATGCAGCTGATGACCCTAAAACTACCTGTCAAAAACAACAGTAAGGTCAGCTAAATATGGCGGTGGCGGGATGAGCCAAGTAAAGTTTGTGGCTTAAGCCCCCCCCCAACCCACCCCCCCCACACCCGTGTTAAAGGAAGAACAGGTGAGGCATTGGCTGTTGGGAGGAGAGCAACAGGGTCAAGACGGAAAACCATAAACCACATGATATTATCAAGAAAAACTCAATTTTTGATGTCAGAGCCAGAAAAATTGAACAACTACCAGAAGCAGAAAGGAATCTACYTGAACATGCATCTACAAATATTGAACTTAATGCTGCTCTCTGGGGCCTAACRGCAGTCTTTTTCGGTGCATCTTGCATGTAACACAGGTCCGAATGGCTGCTGGCTTACCAATGGCAGTGCTCCCATTTTGACAGTGAATGCATCTTTCAAAGGTTTTGTAAGCATACCTTTGAGTACAGGTGATTTGAACTGTGAAACCTGTACTGTGATACGGGGTGGACCGGTTGATTTTGTTTTAGGARGTCTATACCCTGTTTTCTTAGATATACCTGTAACTGGTGGCCTAGCAGCCAGGTACARTCAGCCCTGCTGCCAGAGAAAGGAAACACCTTCACTTACTGGACTAGAATTTCTAAGCTTATCTTTTCAAAAATGTTACTTCCCATTTTACTTCAGACTATGTTTATAGCATACTTTGGGTCTAGACAATATAAAGTACTTATAAAAGCCCTTCAGTTACCTGAGCCTGGCCTAGAAATTCACTGATTTTAAGCAAACGTATATACAAAAATAAAATTTTAAGGATTAAAAAAAAATGCTAAAAACTAGTAGGTTTTCAATCTCGAAGGGAGCCCGGGTGGATGTGACATGTCCCTCACAACTCACACCTGTCTGGTGTGTTAGGGCTTACGTGTTACACGCACCCACAGCAGGGAGGTGAGGACTCTGTCCACGAATGCCGGCCACATGCCTACTGTGTGCCAAGTTCTCAATTGACCACATTGTCTGTGATCCTGCAGCAGCATGTGGGGAAGGCAATAGCATCCTCAAGTGAAGGTGAGGAAGCCAGGACTCCCATGATACCTGGCCCAGAGGGGGCATGGTCTGCTCTCCACATGACCCCTCTCCACATGTTTGATGCACAACTGAGGTTCAGAAAGGTAAAGTGACTCTCAAGTCACACAGCCACCATGTAGAGGARCCGGGATTGGAGCCCAGGCCTGTCTCTGGCTCCATTTGTTTCCTGGGCTGCTCTACCCAGGCTGAGGGTCTGGCTGCTGGTGAGGACACTACAAGCTCCAAACTCATGCTCTCCCTTATCTTTCCCAGCAAGGGTTTGGGAACATTGATGGAGAGTACTGGCTGGGCCTGGAGAACATTTACTGGCTGACAAACCAAGGCAACTACAAACTGCTGGTGACCATGGAGGACTGGTCCGGCCGCAAGGTCTTTGCAGAATATGCCAGCTTCCGCCTGGAGCCAGAGAGCGAGTATTATAAGCTGCGGCTGGGGCGCTACCATGGCAATGCGGGAGACTCCTTCACCTGGCACAATGGCAAGCAGTTCACCACCCTGGACAGAGATCATGACGTCTACACAGGTAGGAAAAGTGGAGTCAAACCCAGGAGCAGGGCAGGGAAAAGAGGTCAACCAAAGCCAGAGGCCACAACCCGAGGGCTTGGGAACAAGGAGTCTCTCACCCTGTTCCCACCTCTTGAATATCCCTTCCTCTACCAACTGCCCTCAGATTCTCTCTGCAAAGCTGGGTTACAGTGGCACTTACCAAAAGGAAAAGGCAAAGAGATGGACACTCTCCCATGCCAGGCTGTGCCCTCCTCACCTGTCTGAGGCAGACACGCCCTGGGTTCCAATGCTGTCCCTACCTCCTCAGCACACTGCACAATCTCCCTGGGCCTTGGTTTCCACATCTATAAGTAAGGACAATACCTACCTTGCAGGGCAGGGAGAAGGATAGAGAAGGTACCTGATAGGACTCGGCACACAGCAGGGGCTTGAGTTAGCATTGATGCTAGCGGGCTCTTGGCCATTACTGTGTCTAGCATGTAATGTTAATGCAATGCGGAGAGGAAACCAGATAGGATACATGAAGTGATTTGTTCAAGGTCATGTACCTCAAACCCAGGACTTATATTAAATTTTAATTAGATAAAAAAACAAGGGAGGGGGCTGGGGTTGTGGCTCAGTGGTAAAGCGTTGCCTTGTACATGTGAAGGAGGCACTGGGTTCAATCCTCAGCACCACATATAAATAAATCAAGGTACTGTGTCCATCTACAACTAAAAAAATGTTATAAAAACAAAACAAAACAAGGGAGAACACAGGAAATAATAAGATACGCAGATACAGTCCTGCCATGAGTGCTGACATCACACTTCCCCACAGTTGATGCCTCCCAAGGCCCCAAACTCAATCTGTAGGTTGGTGACCCCTGTAGCTAGCACCACCTCTGGGCTGAGGCTGAGTCTGCTTTCCTGGGTGAGCCTGGCTCCTCCTGCCTGGTYTTCCTTTCAGTCCTTGTCTGAAAGCAAGTCCTCCCACCTTTGTACTCAGCAGCCTCTGGGGACTGTCCCAGGAATTGCCTGTGCTTTAGGCATGCCCTAATACCTATGCACTGTGGTGAAGGAGCTTCACTCCAGGACCCCAGGCAGCCACGCTCTAGCAGACAGGTGTCCTGACATTGGGGAACAGGAGAGACGCGACCCACCTGTCCTCGMACTACACTGGTACTGTACTGACCCTGGTAGAGAAGCAGGCCCTTGCTGTGCCAAGGCTTCCGAAAGAGCAGGGCAGGAGGATGACCCTCAGTACTGGGATAGGGTCTGCTGTAGACTTCTTTGAGGTGACATTGGGGAGCAGTGAGAACTATGTGAGGGCTCCTTACCCTTGGGATATGTGAGGCCAGAGCAGAAGGGGCACCCTGGTGAATGGGAAGCAGACCATGGTATGCCATGGGTCTCCTYACTCCCCAAATGTAGCACTGCCATTTGGTCCTTGTAGCCTTGAGCTGAGGCCCCAGAACAGCTCTGAGAAATCTGGGGTGCCTGGGGCTGATGCTCTCCTCCAGCTTTCTGCCTCAGGCTACTGTGACTGTCTCATTCTGTCCCAACATTTCCACTGGAGCAGGGCTGCCCCTCCATCAGGCCCTCCAACCCCAAGCCTGGCAGGAAAGCTCCTCTTAGAGGAAGGAGTCCCTTCCCAGGCCCAGTCCCCTCAATTGAGCAGCCCCAGTGACAGTGGCTCCTCTGGTCCTTCCCGCCCTGTGGGCACTGTRCCCCTGCGCACCCACTCACACTTTGCCCACGCTTCTTATTGTTCTGAACTGCTTGTCCTTGGCAGCAAAATTCAGCATGATGTGATATGCCAAGAGTTTTATGGAATATCCTTCTTTTATGAAATAATACAAGAAGTTATTTGGATAGAATACAGGCTGGGGAAGAAAAAAGGGGCATTTCATCTTTAACACTTACTTTTTCATTCTATAAAGACTTAATACAACACTTTCCACTCTTAAAATCCTAAGAAGCTCCCTGCTCACCCCCCAGGCCACTTTCACTTTCTCCAGACCTGAGGTGGGGGTAGTGGAATTTTTACCATCCTCTAAGAGATGAGGATGATTGCAGGATGGGAGGGAAGCCATTGGTCTGTGATCTCACAGCCCATGAGTTATAAAGTCCAACTGGCTCYAAATCTGGCCTTTGACCTCTGCCACAGAAGGCTCATCTCTCTAGCAGTCTTACTCTGAAGGCCTCCTAGAGAGGATCTTGCGGGAGACCTGAGCACACCAGGGATAGGGCACAAAGCTTGCTTCCAGGGACCTCCTTGCACCCTTCTCTCCTGCAGGAAACTGTGCCCACTACCAAAAGGGAGGCTGGTGGTATAATGCCTGTGCCCACTCCAACCTCAACGGGGTCTGGTACCGCGGGGGCCATTACCGGAGCCGCTACCAGGATGGAGTCTACTGGGCTGAGTTCCGAGGAGGCTCCTACTCACTCAAGAAAGTGGTGATGATGATCCGGCCCAACCCCAACACCTTCCACTAAGCCGCTCCCCTCTGGATCTCCCGTGGCCATCGGCAGGAGCCTGCCCAGCATGCAGCCCCAGCACAATGAGCAACTACTCACCAGCTCATCCTGGGCTGCAAGGACTGAGAGCTGGATTCTGTTTTTTGAAGTCACTGTGTCAGATAATGAAACTGAACTGGTACTGTGTYCTCTGTTCCTCTTCTACTTTCCTTCAAATCAGACAGCCCCTCATGTTTCTAGGACAGGACTGCAGACAACTCTTTCTTTGAATAAATTATCCCTACAATAAAACACCATTGCAAAATACCTTCATGATATACATGTGCATGAGCCTCTCCATGCACTTAAGCGTATGCCACATGTATATGCATTACATACTATCACATGTGATATGTCTAGATACACATATGGGTTTGCTATATATACACCGAAATGCACTCCAACTCTCAGACATTAAAGTCATCCCCAACTTTGCTCTTTGAAGGAAAACATTTCCTTGATGCTGTGTTTCTGGAGCCTAAGGRCAGATCACAGGCTGTGTAGCCCCGATTCAAAGACTAATCCTCAGTGTTGGCGCGCCTGGATTCTTCCAAGAATGTCCAMAAGGCTCATCTCTCACATAGGGGTTCCTGGCTCCCTCTCTTAAGAACCYCCTTGGGCACCTACTCAAATTTCAAAAATCATTTCTGTTTTTATGTTTTCTCTGTTCTCAGGATTGTCACCACCTTCCACCCAGTTATTCACTCACCCAGCGCCCTCTGTGTCAGTCCCCTGCTGCCTACACATTCAAGGCGCCCTTTCTCTTTACCCCTTGCCCATCCTTTTCTACCACAAGACCTATCCTTCCAGGCAAGAGTCCGCCACCTCTGAGKAGGAACAGTCTGGGCGCAGGTTCTGGCCAGGGAAGGGAAGGCCAGGCCCAAAGCTACACTGGCGGCCATGTAGATTGTGTATTCAGTTCTGTATCTTCCGCTCATACTTTAGCCTCCATGTCATTTTAACCTTCACCCAATAGTAGCCTACCTTGCCAGAGACACTCAGCTGAAGAGACGTCATCACTAATGTGCTAGGGCCCCCAGATGGCTAAAGACTGGAGATTCCCATGCTCAGGTGGACCAGAGTCTGCACCTCATCCCCCAACTACGCTTCTCTGGAGGACAGGGGCCACCAGACTCCTTGGTTGGTGMGCTGCAGCATGGCGGCTTCCTGAATCCTGCCAGTCTCAGTACTACCGGGACGACTGCCAAGCCAGGGGCAAGAGATGAGTCAGGAAGGTGAGACCCTCCCCGGTGGGCACATGGGTCAGGCATGCGAGATGTGGGGCTTTTGGTACTGTCCACGTCTGGGTGCGTGCCTATTACCTCAGCAGTTCTCACAAGTGTACCATGTAGCATGTTTTGTGTATATAAAAGGGAGGGTTTTTTTTAATATATTCCCAGATTATCCTTGTAATGACACAAATCTGCAATAAAAGCCATCAGTGCTACATGATGCATCTACCCTGTGTGTTACTGTTTTAGACTRCTTTCCCGGGGCCTCTCACATTGGGCCCTTTAAGATTTGGCATCTAGGGCACATGCCCAATCCATGCCTATGGCACTCTCCCTATCTGGTTCCTGCCTGCTCCCTCCTGATCCCTGTGCCAGCACCTCAGCCAGGGTGGCTCTCTGGAGCCCAGCTCTGCGCTTCTAGTTACATTCTGAATACTTCCAGTGGGTGTCCTAAGAGTACCTCACAGCCAGGCAGGCAATCTCTGAGACATGCTCCCCCAGGCCAAGCCTTCCTCCCCACCACATCCTCTGGCCTCCTCTCCCCCCACCACTGCAGTGGGTGCCCCACCAGGAGCCTCTATCTCCCTCCTCCCAAGCCACACCCCCCACTAGGCACCAGAACTGTCTCCTACTACAAAAGATCTGTGACTTGGGAAGGCAGGTCTATACATGATAGGAAACCTTGAAGCTATAAAGGAAGAGACCAAGGGATATGACTTGAAATTTTTTTTCTGTCTTCCAAAAAAGCAAAGCAAAATAAAACACTACCAAGATTGAGATGCAAATATCAAAAGAAAAAAATATTTGCATGTAAATAGCAAATCCAGAATTAATACTATGACATATTCCAAGCTTTCAAAATAAGAAAGATACAAATACTGTGATAGAAAACTTGGCCAAGTATGTGAACAACCTTAGAAGTTGCAAATAGCCAGTAACATGAGAAGATGTCAACTGCAGGGAGAACTAAGGGGTTKCACTGAGGGAAGGGTTAGCCATCATGTGTTGCCTCTCAGACTGGCAAAGACAGGACTGAAGTATAAACTGACTATTTTTTCAAGAGTAAGTTGGTGATATCAAAGTTTAAAATGCATTTAGGTCCTTAGACCCAGCAGTTCTTCTCAATCATCAAGAATACAACTGTGGGAAAGCCTTCTGGAGTTGGGTGTAGTTAAGGAGACTGTGTGGTGCTAAGGATGGAACCCAGGGCCTTGCAATGCTAGGTAGGTGCTCTGCCACTGAGCTATACCCCCAGTCCCAAGACTTGATGTTTGTAAAGCTTATTACATGCTTAAAAATGGACTTCTATTTTTTATTTCACCTTCATACAACTCTGTGAAGGAAGGATTATTATTCCCATCTCACTGAAGAGCAGGAGGCTTGAAGCTGAGGCTTGAAGTCAAGAATGTGCCACCAGGAGTTAATCCAGAAAGGACTAGGTGTTGGCACTGAGGACAAGTTCTTAGCCCTCCTTCTACCTCTCAGTCAGTTGCTTGGTCACAGGGGAATGCTACCTTGGCCCAGACCACAGCCACACCTCCTCAACATCTGGAGCAGAGTTGGGAGATATAGGAAACTTAGGCAAAGGAAAATGAGGTACAYCCTTATTGCTCACTGGCATCATATCCAAACCCCAAAGCAGAAAGTTCTAGAAAGTCAAGCTAGTCAATATGAAGAAGTCCTTTATCTGAGCTACCTGGGATCCAAATAAAAGCAGACCATAATACCAACTCCTACTCCCCACCAAGCCCTATCCTGGCACCCAAATCTGGGTATTATCCAAACCATACCCTGGCTATATGGAGCAGAGGAGTACGGTCCTCAAAGATGTGCAGCCTGCTTTCCCCAGAGTAAAARTGAAAGGGAGGAGGTCAGTTCACTGGGTAGCACCTGGAGAAAGATCATGGGAAAGGGAGTTGGGCTCAAGGACCCGGAGGCTGGGGACCTTGAGCTATTCTCACTAGCAGACAGCCAGTTAGCATCTGGAGGTCTGCCCAAGTCRGATCAGCAGTGCTCCTCTGCCTTCCAGCCAGCAAACTTGTCAGGCCTGTAATCACAGAAGTACTCCATGGTTGGCACCTCTGTAGACCTAGACGGATATCAATAAAGCCCAGACTTCCTCCAGTGCCAGCCAAACCCCCACATCCCAGTTTTGGCCAATACTTTGACCAGTAATGGTCCCCAAGCAGGTGCCACTGAACAGAACCCCCTTCTCCAAATTTTGCCAGTGTGAGCAAGATTGAAAGAGAAACCTTCAAAGGACTGGAAGCAATGACAATGGGAGTCCTCCATGCCTAAAGCCCAGACACTCAGGAGTCCAAGGGGTCCTCCCTGAATTCCAGGACCACCTCACCTGCTTCAGTCTTACTGAAATCTGTTAAAGAAACCCAGGCAACTAGATTAAATAAAAAGGGCACATTTTGGGTACAAAGATGTAAAAAGGCACTCCCTCTGCCTCAGTTTTACCTGGCAGTCCCAAGACTAAGGACAAAATAATAGTTGCTAGGATCTCATATTCCAGAGCTTGCAAGGTGCAAGATCATCACCACAAAGGAACAACCTCAGGCTGCAGCTTAGGGATGCCCACCTGAATTCTAAGAAGTGCAAGGAAAAGATCACGGGGTGGGGGAGAATGATGTGTCCCTATGATATGTCCTCTGCCACACAGGAAGAGGAGATGTCTTCCTWACCCCAAACCATGTGAGAGGGATGACAAGGAAACACTCCCAGAGCTGGTGAGGCCCAAGCCAGCAGAGCAGTGAGGAGTGTAAGATTCTGGAAGCTCCCAGACAGCAGGCTACCTGGATGGCAGGGGTGGGGGCAGGGCAGCAAGTACGGAACAAGGGAAGCAGCAGTGAGCATCAGCTGAGCCGGAGGAGCAGCGTTACCCTACCAGGAGCAGGTGAGGTGCCCAGAGAGAGGCTAGGTAGCAGAAAAGAGGAGACGGAGTTCAGGCTGCGTGCCAGGGACAGGCAGGTACAACTCTGGAGGAGAACCGAGCAGCCACGGAACATGGGCTCTTTCCTGTTGCCTCTTCTGGCCCCTGCTCCAATTCCAAGGGCCAGAAATCTCTGTGGGCAAGTGGAGGAGGCAGCAGGGCTGGCCAGGATTCAGCGAAGAAGCTGACCTGTGCCCTCCCCAGCTCCAGCTGGTTGGCTTTAGGAGTCCAGACTCATAAGTGCTACACAGGACTATCTGGAATGACAGCATTGTCAGAAGGAACTGGGCTTTGTCAAGCCTGACACCAAGAAGACCAAGGGGCCTGCTGAGTTCTCAGCTTTGCTGGGAAAAGAATTAGTTTACTGAGACGCTTGAAAGGACACTGCAGAAAAAATAAGGTTGGTTTCTTCTTCCACCTGACTGAGTCCAGCTCATTTAATAAGCTGGTTATATAAGGACACAAGGTATCTCCCTGAGTCCACGGGCCGGGATGCAGCTGGGCCTCCCGAGGGCCAGGACCAGAAACTGCCTGGAAACCCTTCAGGAAAGAAGGCGGCACCCTTCCCCGCCCCGCTCCTCTCCCCTTCCTGCAGGATTTCTTTCTCGGTTTCTCACTGTGCACCCGTCCAGAGTACCCTCACTCTCTGTCCCAGCAACAGCCCCACCTGGCTTTCCTGAGTTCACATGTCCCCCAGGTCTGAGYGCCAGCATCTCTACATTCCCATGCCAACTCCTGGATGAAGAATCTGATTGGCCAGCCAAGGCCCTGGCTCAGAGCTGGGCTGGGTGGAATGAACGTTGCTGCTGGGGCGCAGTGCTGTGCAAGAGACAAGGAAGTCCCAGGTTCCTAAGGGTGGGGGTCATGGGATGGATCTCTACTCAAAAAGGGGTTTAGCCTATACTCCAACTGTCATTGGCTCCTATCCTCTCTAGAGACCATGCATACTTTGCCAACTAGATGGATTCCATCCCATTACTCATGTGAAGGGGTCCTGTTTCCCAGGCTCTCCCTACCTGACCACTGTCCTTTCCTAAAAAGCACACCTAACCCTTCCAGGCCCAGCTGGGTCACTAAACATGACCCCTGGCTATGCCCTGATG